CGAGGCACATGCACAGGCGGGCAGCCTCCATGCACACTCAAAAAGCAGGGCATGTGGCATGTGTTCAATTCCAGACAAACCCTGTGTCGACTTGTGGAGTCACAGCGTGGCTGGCCCGCCAGCGGTTTTTAAACATTTTTATATTTGTGGGAGTTCATGAGTATTTTATAAACCTCATTTAGATACTACAGGAAACATTCAGCATTTTTTTTAAAAGAAGAAAGTTGTTTTTCTACTTCATTTTCCTTTGAGGGTCAGAGGATATTTATTTATAGGCCCTTTTTTTGATAGACTCTGAGGCTGTCTGTGGCTTTGACTTCACTCTCTTTGGCCTCTCCACCAGGTCAGTTTCCCTCCTGTTTGGGCCACCAGGAGTTCCAGCCCAGAACTGCTATCTCCCATCCTTAATCCTTTTGAATCCCCCTCTTTTTTTATAAACGTTACCAGCTTGGTATTTCTGTTTTAATATGACGTCATCTACTTCACTGTCAGCTCCGAGGCATTGAACATGGGTGGCATGTTTGGCTGTGCACCTCCAGCAGCCCTGGGGCAGCGCGTCCTGCTCGGAGAGTGGCCATCCCTCCCCTGCTCCGGCTCTGGTGAGTGGACAAAGCAGCTGCCCCTGCAGACAGATGAGCTGCACGGACAGACGGACGGGCGGAAACTGGAGAGCAGCAGAGCCGGTGATTGCCTCAGGCTGATGCCCCGCCTGTCAGGGCCATGAGGCCGCATAGGTCTGTCAGGGACCGACTCCAGTCCCGCCCTGGGTCAGAGGAGGAGCAGTCTCCTGGCACCAGAAGGGGGACACTGCTGGTGGTGCCTTTGTTCTTCCTGAAATCCCCTTGGTTCACTTGTTTAGGACAGAATCGGAACCTGTCCGTAAAGCACAATCAAAACCACAGACTCCAGTTGTGTCCTGAAGCAAAGCCTCTGGGTTCCTTTGGGGGGAATTTTTTTTTTCTAAAATGAATTGATTTTGTATTTGGGGCATCTCTACTGAAAGTGACCACCAGGGCCAGAAGCACAGGGAAGATGTTTACTGATTTCCCGAGGCATCCGTGACGTGCATTTCTACCAGTAGACACCAGGAAAACCCTTGACTCCGGTTCAGCTGTCCCCTCCCCGTTCCAGCTGCTCACTGCCAGCCAGGACGCACACAGGGGCGGGTGCTGAGGGCCATCCGGGGCACTTGGGCTGCTGGACACCACAGAAACTCAGATGCAGCCTCGGTGGCTAACGGTGGTTAATTTTATAATCATAAAATGTATAAAGATTCATTTTTCAAAGAGAAAAACCCACCAATGACCAATGAAGGAGGTGAATAAACTAAGATGTTCTGAGGGAGGGGGCCTGAATTTGGCCTCAGTCCTCCAGGTCTGTGCATGAAGGGTTTTTTGAATGAAATGCCCCTTGCATTTTCAGGAAAAAAATCTCTGATAAGCAGACTTTGAATGGATGTTTGCTCCTCCTGATCCCTTTTCCTTCTTGTAGTGACTCAATGGCATTCGGAACTGTGAATGTACATAGTGTCGGAATAAACCCCTTAGTATGAGACGAGGACACGGGCAAGTGCAGCCCGGGCCCCTCCACCTGCGGGGTCCTGTGGGGACATGGGGGTCCTGCTGGGATGGGGGGATCCTGCTAGAACGTGGGGCCCTGCTGGAAAGGGTGCCACATGAAGAACTTTGGGTTTGTAATGGAATGAATAAAATGTAGTCCTATGTACTTGAAGATGCTCTTTGTTACATGTAGTTTTTTTATTAGACAACATTTCTTAGGCTGTGACAGGAGAGGCGGTCAAGATGAGATTCTAGCATGTTTGGGAAGCACAGTGATTGAAATTCTGTAGAAGCAGTTTCTCGACAGCGAAGGGGCACTGTGGAGTGGCTCGATACCCTGTGGGCAGTGGTGGCATTTCCCAGAACTCAGACTTGCGTAGCTGTCTCCCTGGTTCTGTAATTTCTCTGTGTTGAGCATATACACCTTAAACACACTTTGCCGTCCTTCTATTAAATCCGTAAAGGATTTATAAATAGAAGTAAAGCAGATAGAACTGTTGTATTACAATCCCAAACACTGTACATGAGAACATCGAGGGTGTGTGGCCACTGGCTCAGGACTCAGGTAACATTCAGGGATGAGGTTTCTTCACAGAAGTGAGTCAGGAGCCCCGTGACAGGAGGAGGACACGCACAGGGACCACATTCACGCAGCAGCCGCCGTTACTTCTTTGTGCTTGTAGGCCCTTTTTAACATAATAAATGAGTCTTGCCTTTGAAATTGGTTAAATTGATTTAATTGTTTTAAGTAAAGGAAAGGGATAAAGCAAAGACAGGATCTGGACATTTTACATCCAGAGATGGACACAACTTTGTAGTCGAAACGAAAGGTCACCACAGCCATGGGCATTGAATGGCATGAAAGTGGGTATGGTGGCTGCAGGTGGATGGGAATGTCGCTTCTATGTGTTCAGCTCTCCTGCGTTCTGATTGGAACAGGCTGTGATGAGACCCATGCACACGGGCTGGCTCAGTACTGACAACAGGGCCATCTCTGCCATTTAATATTGTCAAGAGCTGGTTAGGTTCTGATTAATTCTCTTACATGTAATAAAAGAGTAAGAATCCAAAATTTTGTTTCCAATCTAAATGGAGTAACAGAGATTGGATCCACCTTCCCTCCTGGTGGGAAACTCTGATGGGTATTTTTCTCAGTAGCGAGGAAATAGGCAAAACACTGCCCTGGTCCAGCTGAACACAGCTTCAAAGAAAGACCTGAAAGGATGGCCAGGCTGTATATCAGTAACTCACCTGCAGCCCCAAACCAAGTTCCAGGATATTCACAGGAATGCAAAATTATCCAACACCCTGCAAGGTAGAAGTCACAATCCCTGGCATCCAATCCCTAGATGCATTAACAACAACAAAGGCAGGAAACAATGATCAGTAATCAGTAGAAACAGACCCAGAAATGACTCTGATGATGGAATTGGGTGAAGTCCATTTGTTATACAACGTCACTGTATTACCTTGTTTAGAAAGCCAGCGAGAGACAAGATTTAATATCTTCAGTAGAGACATGCGAGGTCTTTTATGGGATCAATATGAATTCCAGCATGAAAACTACAGTGATTGAAATTCCAGCATGAAAACTACAATGTTTGAAATGCTAAATACACAGGCTGAGTAGGGATGAGTTTGACATCACAAGAAGAGACGGTGAGTGGACTTGAAGGCACAGCAGTACAAACCATTCAGAACAAAGAAAAGATGAAAGTGTGAACTGGGCATCAGTGAGCTGTGGAACTTTCTCCAAGGAAAGGGGCAAACTGGAAAAAATATTTAGAGAAGTACTTTTCCAAACTTGATGAAAACTGTGAGTCACAGATCCAAGGAGCTCAGTGAACTCCAAGCACAGGAACCATGATGGAAACCACACCAGGCACATCAGTGTTCAAACAAAGGGTAAAGGGAGAACCAACCTGAGGAGAAAAGACATTTCATGCAAGGAACAAAAATATTCAGAAAAGCAGGTTTCTCATTAGGAATGAGACCAACTAGAAGACAGTGGAGCAACATCTACAAAACAGGAAGAGAAAAAGACAACTGCCAACCTAGAATTCTTTACTCAGCAAAGGTATTTTTCCAAAGAGAAATAAAGCTGCTTTGGACATATAAAAGCTGTAAGAACTCATCACTGGCAGCCCCTCACTACAAGGAATGTTGGAATAAGTCCCTAAAGCAGAGAGAAAATCATAGCACTTTGAATCTGGACCTACACTAGGAGTGCAGAGGACCAGAAATGGTAAGCACATAGGCAAATATAAGCACTTCTTCTTATTACTTAAATCTCTTTATTTTTTATTTATTAATTATTGATGTCAAGAGAGGAAAGGCGAAGGAGAGATGGAAACATCCATGATGAGAATCATTGATCAGCTGCCTCCTGCGTGCCCTCTACTGGGGATCAAACCCACAATCAGGGCATGTGTCCTGACCACGAATCAAACTGTAATCTCCTGGTTTGTGCATCAACACTCAACCATGAGCCACACCGACTGAGCATTATATAAATCTCTTTAAAAGAAGATTGAGCCCTAGCCAGTCCTGCTCAGTGGATAGCGCATCAGCCTGTGGACTGAAGGGTCCCGGGTTCGATGCTGGTCAAAGGTCAAAAGCAACCACTAACATAGCACAACAGAGATTTGGCTAATAATCCCACAAAAGAAGAGGGATCTAAAAATTTTAAAACTCAATCCAAAAGACAGCAGAAAAGGAGAAAAGGGGAACAGAGAACACATTGGAAAATAGAAAACATATAGTCAATTTAGATTTAAACACAACCACATCAGTATTCACATTAAATGTAAATGGTCTAAATACCGCCTCCACCACCCCCACCCCAAATAGTAGAGACTGTCAGCTTGGATATAAAAAAAGCAAGACCCAACTATATCATGCGCATAAGAAACACAGTTTACATATGAAAACACAAATCAGCTAAAAGGAAAAGAATGGGTGCTCGCTCTAATCAAAAGAAACACGCAGTGGCTGTTTTAACAGCAAATTTGACTTCAGAGCACAAGTTGTGAGCAGGTCCAGCAAGATCACTACATGATAAGGATTCAGGTCCCCAGGAGGACATGCGATCCTAAGTGCGCGTGCCCCTGGAAACAGCTTCCACAGGGTGAAGCAGGAGGATAAACCACAAGGAGACCAGTCCACAC